CTATTTCTCTCTCTCTCTATTTCTTCTCTCTCTCTCTCTCTCTCTCTCTCTCTCTCGTGCGCGCGCTCTCTCTCCCTCGCCGAGTGGCCTGGGCGAGAGAGAACAGACCGACGCATTAGCTGGCGGACTTACAGCGGCTATTTTGTCGCAGCTGAGAAGCAGCAGGAGGAGATGAGATGTACATATAGTAACTAGTGTAGTGGTGCAAACACGCGTGTAGGCGATGACCCCAGCGCGTGTGTGTGCGCGCGTGCATGAGCTGGGGAGAGGGAGCGAGCGAGCAGCATGGTCTGCATGCCAATCACCGATTGATAAATAAGTAAATATATAATAAATAAATAAAATTAAAATAAATAATTGAATGAATAAATAAACAAATGAATAAACAAATGAATACAAATTTATTCATTCAACCATTCATTCATTCATTCATTCATTCATTCATTCATTCATTTATTCATTTATTTATTCAATCATTCATTCATTCATTCATTTATTCATAAATATATTATCAAGCGTGAATAAAAAAAGATACGAAGTTTTTATTCACCCATGATATCGTATATATCAACAAAACTATTAATTCAGGGCATATCTATGTACACGCATGCGTGTGTGCGCGTGGGCGTGCGTGCATACCTGTGCGTGCGTGCGCGCACCAAAGCGCGGTCAGATGGAGAAGAATGGCATTTATCGTGTCGCGCGCGTCTGCTGGCGTCGTGAGCTTCCCCCCCCCACGCCCACGCCCCCGCCCCTCCCCCTGTGCTCGCGTGCGTCGCACTAGCTCGAGGTCGTGTGTGTTCGCTCGCGCACCGCTTACTTAGTTATCGCCTCCACGCACCGCATCCACGCACGATCATCATCAGCAGCTCTTGACGATGAAAGCGGAGAACGAAGTGGAGCATGCGGGGGAGAATGCGCGCGTTAACCTTAATACGATGGGCCGCCACTGTTGACAGTCGTTCCTACGGCGGCGGTGGCGGCGGTGGTGGTAGACTTATTTGCGGGCGCATGAAGCAGAGAAGAGAACGGAGGAGAGAACGAAAGAGAGAGAGAGGGCGGAGGGGGAAATGCTGGTGGGTGGGGAGAGAGCTAGTGGGCGAGAGAGAGAGAGAGAGAGAGAGAGAGAGAAAGCTGAGGGAGAGAATGCTAGCTAAGGAAAGAAGCATGGGAGAGCTGGTCGAGTAATAAAATCATTGCGCACGCCACGATTGCGGATATGTTTACCTTCTGAAGCCCTACTAGCCATAGATGGATGTTACATCCTCTTCAGCATCCTCCCACATGTAGCAGCAGCAGCAGCAGTGGTAGCAGCAGCAGCAGT